TGTTATCTAGGATGTCTATGCAATGTTATCCATTGAAAAATCTTCTGGAAAGATTTTAATGGAGTCATAGAGTTTTATAGTATGGAAAAAAGCCATTCCACTCATCATGTTGGTGCCAGTGACCAATTGACATTGTGAAATATATAATAGGTTACTTTATAAACCATACAGTTTCGCAATAAAACATTTACAGTTCAATTCTGTACCAAATAATGTTTTAAATGGAATGGATTTCTATAATGTTGTCTTCAGTCTTTTTTTTATTTTCAGAATTTTCAGCAGTTTCTATGAAATGAAATCATAGATTGCTTCAGTGTTATTCTTACACTTTGCACTTTGTTTCCTTAAGCATTAATCATTAGTATATTTAATAATCTGTTTAAATATTAAGATAAGATGGTCTGATGTTTATGTAATGAGTTATCAGAAGGTAAAGATTTATTCTCACAAACTATATGTATATTATCCTGTAACATTACTATCCTTTAACTATATGGTGGTCTTAGAAGACTGAGTGTAACAGGAAAATGGATGTTAGTTTTACTCATAATAAACAAAACTGCTTGGCAATTGGTAGTACTAGAGAGAGGTAATGGCATTCTGTCCTCCTCAATAATTGATTTCAATATTTTTTGTTGGCTGAACCATAATGTAATATTGGAGATGGAAATAACAAAGCATTGGTCTCCTGTTTGCTTTAGTTGTGCTTGAAAACATGCAGGGAACCAATGGTGTAAGAGCAGTGCGGTGAATACACAGATGAGAATATTCACCAGAAGCACCAGATGCATCCTTAACCGTTTCATCTTTAACTCCTTTACAAAGAAGAATCTAGCAGTAAAGGATGCCTGCATTTGACTCATTGTACTGTCTTACATCAGCAAATTCAGATTATACTAGCATTTACTCTATCATAATACAGGCTACAGAGACATTAAATTAACACTTCATTGCTACTTATTAAAGATGAAGTAATCATCCAGAAATTACTTATTAACCTTAGAATATAGTTGGTAGTACTTAAAGCTGTGTATTGAATATGGAAATAATTGGCTGATATGACTAGGTGATAGCATAAATAGGCAATTACATAGTTCAATCGTATCAAAGTTATTCAGCATTAATTTTTTAATTCTAAATTTTGCTTTTGGCCATATATCCTATGATTTAATCAATATATCAAACTGTCCAGAGGTTATCCATCTTTTGATAAAATAAAAGCTATCTGCATGAGCAAATATGGGTTGTCTAATCAGCCAGGTATGGAACCTTGAAGGCTAATTTTAACCTACCCCGAGCAAAAGAAATAATGGATTTTGTGCATCCTCTGTTTTCAACAGGAGGGAGGCTCTCAAAATAAGGTACAGCCCACTTCCTTCCCACACAACACTAACATACCCCCAAAATATACAAGGTTTCTTGGTGCCAAATCAGTTGTCCATTCCACACATGTAAATAAATAATGAAGGGTGGATTGAACTTGTTAAAAGTGTTTAACTAGTGATAAGTAATCATTTCATTGGTAGTGTTTCAGTGGTAGAAACTTAATTTGCCTAGTGATTGACGAGTGGTTTGGCTGAACTTGTTTATTATTTGTAACACTTAAATGTGATATAGTTCCCTAAATAATTTAACAATTCAAATGTTCACCTTATTATTTTTAGAATATTTATGTACTATAGACAATTGTAAAATATTTACAGCATGGAAACCAACTATTTGACACAACAGATCCATGCAGATAGTTGGTTATACTTGACAAAAGCCTTCTCCTACCCATCTTCATCTAACTCTGTCTGCATTTCGTTCACATTCTTTCTCTTTTCTCTGCTTTTTTCAGCTCCCCTTATATGCTATTCACCACTAACTCTCGTTGCGGTAGCAAATTCTACAATCACACAATTCTCTGGGTAAAGAATGAATTCTCTATTGGATTTATTAGTGACTATGGCTGTTAGTTCTCTGTTTCTTATCTTTCATAATGTTGAAGACTGCTATCAGGCCACACTTAAGTTTTCTCATTTCTAGTCAGTTATTAACATGTGGTAACATGATCGATTGAAACATTATTTTTGATCACTTCCTTTACAGTGTAGTAAGACATGTGGTACTGGAACAAGGCGTCGTCAAATGACTTGTATCAACCAGAATTCACAAGAAGTACTTAGTAATAAATGTGATGCAAGGAAAAGGCCATCAGATGTCGAGCAGTGTAATACTCAACCTTGTGAATATATATGGATCACAGGAGAGTGGTCTGAGGTAAGTGAAAATTTAAATTAATTCATGAGTTAGAAAACTAGCAAATAACATCTCTCCTCCTTGGGCTTAACTGCAGGATTTACTGATGAAACAGATGCTGATTTTAACAATTCTCATAAATCAACAAATTTTAAAATTTCATGGAAAAATTAACTATATCAAACTTAACGTTTGACGTAAGGTTACAACTGAAATGTTGATGAAGTATTTTGTTGCTACTGATGTCCAATATCAAATAAATCTTAAGGGCAGTTACGAATGGGCAATAAATCCTGGCCTAGCCAATCATGCCCACATTCTGTGAATGAATAAAAAAATAAATAAATGCATCTGGATTCATTTTTCACACTGTGTAGAAAGCAACTTGAAATTGTTTTTACTATAGCTGGATTAGCAAAACTTGTGCGACACTTTTTCACTCTTTTTCGGCTTGCTCTAATTTATCTCGTCATTTTTTAGAATTAGTTCCCCTGTTGTCGTGGACCCAATTGTTTTTTTGAACCAGGAAATACTATTTGCTAAACAAATGCAGTTTTGAGCATCACTTGAGAGAAAAGCGGGAATTAATTTTACTTTTGGTGATGATACATAAAGGGCACAAAAAAATCCTCTTTCACTTGTATATCTTGCTCAATTCATCTTTCCATTGAAGTTCATAGGCAGCCATTTTGTTTTTAGTATCATCACTGAAAGTTAAAATAACTACCAAAAATGAAGGACATTGAAGCTGCACAGCCCGAATTTACTAAGATTACACCTTCATTATGAAAAAATAATGTTGGGTCAGTTGAGATACTGAATTTATTTACATTGTAGCAGAAAGACAAAGAGGAATTTGAATAAAATGACAATGACAAAATCAGAAATTGATGGAGAAACTCAGCAGGTCTGGCAGCATCTGTGGAGAGAAAGCAGAGTTAATGTTCTGGGTTCGACCCTTCTTCAGAAATGACAATGAGTTTTGTTGGATTGAATTACCATTTAAAGTATACCCCACACTAGTTTGAAGGAGTAATTTTATATTTATTTGAATGCGGAATTTCTTCATTCTGATAAATTTCATATACTTTTTAAGTACGATTTTAAAGTTTCCTTGAATATTTTAGATTCAGCCATAAACACATATGTATGTCCCAATTGTCTATTTTGCTATCTGTAAAACTTAAAAATTAAAAATGAAGGTATTCAATGAGACTTACATCGTCGTTTACTGTTTATGAGAATACTTCAATTTAATTGGCTGCTTATCCTACTTGAAGATATCACTGCTGTTGAACATCTGGAGATTCTTTTAGCTTGGCACCAGTTTCATACTTAGGTTGGATAAGGGAAGTCCATGCCACATAGGCCACTAAATCTTTGTGGAGCAACTCTCTTCAAAGCCAGCAATGAACACTAATGTTTCTCCACTGACCGCAAAGGCCAGGTAATTATATTCCCTTAGAGATTGGGGAATGGGCTGCATAAACCTTGACTAGTTTGTTAAAATTTGTTTTATCAGATTGCTTTGAAGTTCCAGGATAGTCAAGATTTTTTTAAAAAATCAAAAAAAAAGCAAACAACACTTGAAACATCACTTTAGAATAATCCATTCGGTGAATGTATGTTTCAAACATGACAATCATGAATTATGGACTAACATGTGCCTGTGAACAAACCAATTTGTGGATTGGTAGTTATTTTCCCTATATCCCTTTCCTGTCATATGCTTGTGAATGAACCAGCCTTCTAGTAAATCCTCTTAAAGCGTTCTTATTCCAGAATTGTGAATTGAAGAACAATAATCAACAGGAGTAAAACCGCAAACATGAACCCATATCCTACCTCGTACAAAGCATTGCGGTAGCATACCAAGGTGTTCTGTCAGCTTGCTACTCTCTAACTGTAAGCTTCATACCATACTTTTATTGCCATATAAAAGCCATTACTAAGATTTGTTGTGTGAGATTACAAAGGAATTTTTAGCATTTTTGATTCCAAAACATTATTATATACGAAAAGAAAATCAGATTAACATTTTGACTTTATTTTCAGTGCTCAGTTACTTGTGGAAATGGCTACCAGCAAAGACTTGTTTCCTGCAGTGAGGTTTATAATGGTAAGGACCCCTATGAATACGGCTACTATCATCAGATAACAACTAACTGCCCTGGGACACAACCGCCAAACATCCGTGCCTGCTCTCTTGGTGAATGTCATGTAACTGCCTCATGGAGGGTTGGAAATTGGGGAAGTGTAAGTTCATTTCAAACCTTTTCAGGACACAAGCTGTAAACCTGAGCAATCACATTGTATTTACTTTGATGCAGATTTAATAGTGTCTTGTAATCATGTTTGGTTAATGCATTATGTCGGAATTTTACGAAGTATGTTTTTTGAATCACAATGAGGCGTGAGGGGTTACTCGTAATGCATCTTACAAGGCAGTAAGTTCTATTGTACATAGGGTTCTAAGTTATGTAACCTAGTTACATTTTTCTGGTGCTCGATAAGATTTTATGTGCACTATAAATGTTAGATACTAACAAGGAATAACATTCTTAATCTACAGATGAAGAGTTTCCACTTATAATGACATTTCCATCTCTAATAAATTTTCTCTTAAATGAGAGTTCTCTTTCAATTGCCTCAAAAATATTACCAGCATGTGTTTTATCAAAGAAGTTTTGAGAAGTTGAGTTACATTTCAGTTTTATTGCCAGTCAAATGGTCTACTTTCCTTTATCATGACATGACAATAATAAAAGGCCTTTTTAGTTAAAATATAATTTATGGTGACAGTTAAAGTTTATACTAAATTCAGAGTGATATCAATAGATAATCATCAGATCAATATATCGATATCAATCTTGTAACATAAATAGTGTGATCACAATTGCAATTTTTATTCACTTTACATTTAATGCTTTTAATTTCCTTTTTCTTGTCAATTCTCTTGTAAGTGTTCAGTGACTTGTGGAGTAGGAATCATGCAACGCTCAGTACACTGCTTGACAAATGATGGACATTTAAGCAACTTGTGTAGTTTGGAACTCAAGCCAGAAGAGAGGAGATCATGCCAGAGTGGAAAATGTAAGCATTTGGAGTATTATGTTCACTTTCACATCACCATAAGATATCACCATCTGTTTTCTGTTAACAAAATATGTTTCTAATTGGTCAGAAGTACATTTTCTAAATTCTAATGAAAAACATATTTTGCATGTAGGTGAGTTTCCAGAAAGCTGTAGAGATGTGCAAAGGTTGAAAGGGTTCATGGAAGACGGTGATCATGTTCTTAATATTCAAGGGAAACAAGTGAAGGTACATGTTTGTATTGTTTGACATGGGAAATGTTAGTTTGTCATAAAAGTGTCATGTTTCCTTGTTTAATTTATTCCATTCTTGTATCAAAGCATTTTTGTCATTGCAGATATATTGTGTTGGCATGCTGTCAGATAACCCACGAGAGTACATCACACTTACAAGCGGTGATGCAGAAAATTTTTCAGAAGTTTATGGTTACAGGTATAAAAAGATAAAATATGATTATGCTAACAGTTTGTTCACTTTACAAGTAGTAATTTTGTAAAATATTTTAATTATGTATTAAACTTTGTTTCATTTAGGCTGCACAATCCTGCTGAATGCCCATATAATGGAAGTAGAAGAGATGATTGTCAGTGCAGAAGAGATTATCTGGCTGCAGGGTTTTCTACCTTCAGCAAAGTAAGACTGGACATCAATACTTTGCAAATAATAAGTGAGTAAAATCTTGTGTTTAACCTGCATTTAATTGAAACATATTGATACATTATCCCCTCTCATCGAAACTAATGTAGAAATCAAAAGATGAGTTAAATGGACAATTGAAAAAGAATGTATACGTTTTGTTCTATTTCAAGGGAAATTTAAATTTTGTCCACCCAACAGGAAGCACAAATTTCTTCAGAAGATTTAACGTCAACATCTCATTCCTTCCAACAGTTTTCAAATTTAACATGTACCTCTGAATAAGCAGAAATGATGTTGGAAACTGGCAAGTTCCTTCTTTAAGTATGTAGAATGGACTCCAATGTTGTAATTGGGGCTAAGCTGTGTTTTCTTTTGTGCCAGTGGTCTGAATGAATGAAGCTACTGAATGAAATGTTAGGGCCAAAAGAGGCTGAGAGAGCTAAACCTTTCAAGGGCAATACATACAGATTATTTATTTGATGTTGTAGCATAGCATTGAAATAAAATCTATTATAGCTTTGGAATGTCTGCAGATAGCTTAAAAAGCACTGCAGCAGCCTAAGGCTGTACTCACTAGCGACATTTCCCTGAAGCGCTGCATAATCGTAGAGTCATAGAGATATACAGCACAGAACCAGACCCTTTGGTCCAACTTGTCCATGCGGACCAGATATCCTAACTAAATCTAGTCCTATTTGCCAGCATTTGGCCCATATCCCTCTAAACCCTTCCTATTCATATTCTCACCCAGATGCCTTTTAAATGTTGTTATTGTACCAGCCCTCCACCACTTCCTCTAGCTCATTCCATACACACAACACCCTCTGCATGTAAAAGTTGCCCCTTAGAACACTTTTAAATCTTTCACCTCTCACTTTAAACCTATGCCCTCTAGTTTTGGACTCCCCCACCCTGCGGAAAAGACCTTGGGTATTGACCCTATCCAGGCCTCTTGTGATTTTATAAACCTATATAAGGTCACCCCTCAGCTTCTGACACTTCACGGAGATTAGCCCCAGCCTTTTCAGCCTCTCCCTGTAGCTCAAACTTTCCAGCCCTGGAAAAATCCTTGTAATTCTTTTCTGAATCCTTTCAAGTTTCAGAAGAATCCTTCCTCTAGCAGGGAGACCGGAATTGCACACAGTATTCCAAAAGTGGCCTAACCAATGTCCTGTACAGCTGCAATATGACCTCCCAACTCCTATTCTCAATACACTGACCAATAAAAGCAGGCATACCAAACACCTTCTTCACTGTCCTATCTACCTGTGACTCCACTTTCAAGGAACTATGATCCTGCACTCCAAGGTCTCTTTGTTAAGCAACACTTCCCAGTAAGTGTATGTGTCCTGCCCTGATTTGCCTTTCCAAAATGCAGCGTTTCACTTTTATCTAAATTAAATTCCATCTGCCACTCCTCGGCCCATTGGCCCATCAGATCAAGATCCCGTTGTACTCTGATCAATAGCTCTATTGATGGTACCCTGGAGTAGGACTAAATCTGAGTCCAACTTGGTAGAAACTTGCACTGAGTTGAGGCAGGAGCTGGATTCGCAAGTAGAACACTGACATGAGCACATCTATGAGGGAACTGAGCTGAGCGAGAACAGATTTGTCTCTTCTTGCCGGACCATGCAATTACTGAGACACATTTTTTTCCAGCTCCATACCACTGTTTCTCCAGCTTTACTTTTCCTGCCTACTCCCTAAGGCTTTGATTATATATTTTGTTCTCTGTCTGCTTCTCCCATGCTGCATTTCCATTGTCTAATTCATTGCCTTTGGCTTGTTTGGACCCTGGTTCGTTACGTCAAAACTTATTCCATGATGGCCCACTTAACTTTTACAGATAAGTTCATTCACGTTTCTCATGTGCCAGGGAGTTAGCATTGCTCAGACGTGATCTGAGATTTATTAGTTAGATTAAATCATAACCTAAAACATAGTGTAAATATTGAGGAATCATGGCTGGCTAGCTGAAGCACTGATTAAGGCTCAATCAATTCAGTCACACAGATTTGAACCTCTCTGTTGTCATATGGGAATATGGGAATTTTAAGTGTAGTTCTAAAAGAAAAATAACTACCATAATCCATTAAAATGTTACCAAAATGGTAGGAATTATAAATTCTCCATTGGGCAAAACAGCTCATCCATGAAGTTAACATGAAGCGTCCCATTTCCCATTCTATTTGCAGCAACTTACAAATTTAAAGCAATTGGTTTCTATGCAGATTGAGGTAACTGATGGATTCAGCTTAGAATTTCATGCATAAGTACTGAATGCAGTCCTTTGGCAGAGTGAAAGTTAATAGCATCCAACCAGATGGGTAGCTGGGGAGGGGTGCAGCAATGTCAATTTGAACTGAAGGCATTTGTTAAGAAAAACATGTAAAAATATGTCACTTGCCACTTATCAAAAGAGGAGTTTCAAGTTGAATGGGGGTTGGCGAATCAAAGATGTAGGTGGAGAATAACAACAATAATGAGATTTCACAATACAATTCTGTCATATTTGTAACAAAATATGTTGAAGGAACTTTGGCGAGTAGCTGCATTACTCTTTATAGATGGTACACACAGCCATCACTGTGCATTGATGGTATAAGGGCTGAATGGTGAATGGATATGATGCCAGTCAAGTAGGCTGCTTTCTCTAGATGACATGAATCTTCTTGAATATTTTTGAAGCTGCCCTCTTCTAGGTAATAGGGGAATATTCATCACACTTTTAACCAGTACCATGTAGATGATGGACAGATTTTGGGAAGTTAGGACATGAAGTTAATGATGTTGGATTCAATGATTGTAAAAGTAGCTGAATGTCAAGGGAAGATGGTTAAATTCACTCTAATTGGAGATGATCATTATCTGACTTCTAATGTGCCACAATGTTACTTGCCACTTATCAAACCTGATGTTATCCAAGCACTGCTGCATGCAGGCACAAACTGCTCCATTATCTGAGAAGTTATGATTAAAACTAAACATTGTGCAATTAGCAGTGAACATTCCCACACAGCTCATTGATGAAACAGCTGAATGTGCTTGGGCCTAGGACACGACCCCGAGGTGCTCCTGCAGCAAGTTTCATAATATTTCTCATAGATCAGAATGTAAAATATTTTTCTGTAGTTTGTGCTTAAAAAAGGTGTGAAACGTATGCTGGCTGCTGAAACATTGGATTTAATGGATATGGGATTCTGCTTGTCACTTTTTTAAAGGAAATTCTGTATTCAGAATTCATTAGATATTAAATATCATGCTGACTGTTCACTGTGGGATAGTATACACTCTATGAAAAGTATGAGTGACAAATGGTAACAGATTAATCTTGCTGGATTGAAACAAATGGTGGAGAGAAAGCAATTCTAAATGTAAATAAGGGTATGTAAGTAATTGACTGATTCTCTTAAAGAAGTGCTTAGACAAATAAATTGTTACAGTTCCAGAAGAGGAACTTTTTATAGCAAATGGAGATTTTTGCTCTAATTTGTTTAGAAATTCTGGTTGTACACATATACTCATTTGAATAAGAGAGAAAGGATTCTGTTATTTGTATATCCAGTGTGTACAGATGGTGAACATTAACTGGAATTCACTTGTGCCACTATAAATAGGAACAAACTGAAACTGTGATTGTTGGATGAGGAGGTGCAAGTTTGTAATGTGGCTCTCTGTAAATAAATGCTATCCAATTCCATCCATCACCATCTGGCTTTCTACATTGAAATACGGATATTATGTTCTTTTTGTAAAATGAGATTCCAGTGCAAAGCCTTGTTTGAAAGGATCCTGGTTGAAAGAAGATTTAGAGGTCAGAATGTTACTGACTCTGGACAAGATTCTCACACCAATACTCCTGTTTTGTGAGCCGGTATACTGTTACCATAGCTCTATAGAATGGTATAGAATGTACCTTTATATATCGCCTAGTTGTAAGACAAATAACTTGCAGGATAGTAGGAACTGCAGATGCTGGAGAATCCGAGACAACAAGGTGCAGGGCTGGATGAACACAGCAGGCCAAGCAGCATCACAGGAGCAGAGAGGCTGACGTTTCGGGCCTAGACCCTTCATCAGAAAAGGGGGAGGGGAAGGGGGTTCTGAAATAAATAGGGAGAGAGGGGGAGGCGGATAGAAGAGGGATAGAGGAGAGGATAGGTGGAGAGGAAACAAACAGGTCGAAGAGGCGGGGATGGAGCCAGTAAAGGTGAGTGTAGGAAGGGGATAGGTCAGTCCAGGGAGGACGGACAGGTCAAGGGGGCGGGATGAGGTTGGTCGGGAGGAGATGGAGGTGTGGCTTGAGGTGGGAGGAGGGGATAGGTGGGAGGAAGAACAGGTTAGGGAGGCAGGGACGAGCTGGACTGGTTTTGGGATGCGGTAGGGGGAGAGGAAATTTTGAAACTTGTGAAATCCACATTGATACCATTGGGCTGCAGGGTTCCCAAGCGGAATATGAGTTGCTGTTCCTGCAACCTTCGGGTGGCATCGTTGTGGCACTGCAGGAGGCCCAGGATGGACATGTCGGCATCGTTGTGGCAATCCGACCCCACCACCAAAGACATCTTTTCCTCCCCACCCTTATCTGCTTTCCGGAGGGACAACTCTCTCCGTGACTCCCTTGTCCGCTCCACACACCCCTCCAGCTCCACCACACCCGGCACTTTTCCCTGCAACCGCAGGAAGTGCTACACCTGCCCCCATACCTCCTCCCTCACCCCCATCCCAGGCCCCAAGAAGACTTTCCACATCAAGCAGATGTTCACCTGCACATCTGCCAATGTGGTATACTGCATCCGCTGTACCTGGTGTGGCTTCCTCTACATCGGGGAAACCAAGCGGAGGCTCGGGGACCGCTTTGCAGAACACCTATGCTCGGTTCGCAATAAACAACTGCACCTCCCAGTCGCGAACCATTTCAACTCCCCCTCCCATTCCTCAGACGACATGTCCATCCTGGGCCTCCT